TGAGACGCCCTGAATAATCCCCGTTTTGCCGGATTATTTCCGATGTAATCATAAAAGGCTAATTTTTCAGGAATTTTAGGCCAAGCTTCTGATAAACTTTGATTTTCAGCTAACCCAGCACTAACTCTTCTATATATTGGATAAAGTTTCCAACTTTATCCATTATTACATTCCAATAAGTCAAGATCTCTAATCTTAAGTTCTTAATGGTTGCACCAATTGCATAGACACCACACTAGGTCATGCAAGACCACTTTCCAACCAACATCATGGTCTAGAAACTAGATAATGCACTCAAACAGTCTGGAGTCCACCTAAACTCCAAAGACAAAGAAGATTGGAATAAAAAGATCATAAAATGACTTAACATGAGATTTAAAGATACAATAAACAAGGGTGAGACTTTATACCTCCACAATGTCATAAATAAGATGAAGATGTTAGATCTAAGCCAAAACCAAGCTCCCAAACCACAATATGAACTCCTTCTTCTTCCAAGCTTCACAAAAATGGCTTCGCACTCTTAAAACACACACATAAATAGGCTAGGGTTTGGATGGGAATCGTTTTCAGAGGATGTAGGTTGCTAAATGAGGCAGCCCCAGAAGTTAGTGCTTTTAAATAGGGCATTAATCCCATAATCTAGTGTGTTGAACCCTAGTTGCCGCCACGTCATGATAGTTCACGAAAGCACGTTTTCCTGAACCGGCCTGCCACGTCATGGTCATTCCATCACCACGTTGTGGCCAAGATGAAATCTAAAAACTTAATTAATGAAATTAAATTCAGATGAACCATAGCAGGAAACGGGTGTTACATGTCTTTTTGATATCTTGAATCAAATATAGTTATGCAAATTATTGACGACAGTGATGTTATATATATTTTTGGTACTGCAAGTAGTATGTCTCCTAACATGGTATAATTGTTTGTTGTTAATCATGTTGTGGAAAGTGGTGTTAATGGATTCGTATGATAAAATCGCTCCGGTAGCAATGGGTCATCTGGTGCCATAAGTAACCAATTATGTAATTTAATACTTATGACCGTGACTCATATGGTTCGGGGAATGCAAAAGAAGTTCCTTATGATTGGTGTGTACACGAGGGTGATGTTAGGTATAAAGGTGAGAATGTTTCTCATGATGGTTCATTGTTTGATGTTGATGGATGAGCAATCGATCAGACGAAATATATAATGTTGGTTGATTATGGAAACATACTTCCACATAGAAAATCAATGGAAAAAACTTCAGGTGTTTTTTAGATTATAATGTTGGTTGATGATGGAAACATACTTCCACACAGAAAATCAATGGAAAAAACTTCAGGTGTTTTTAGATTATGATGATGACACTAAATCAGGTGTTTCTTAGTCGTCATTTATTTTGTTAAAGATTGTAAATGACAACTAAGAGTTACAAAAATAAGATTCGGAAACTTTTCAAGTCCGTAAATTAGCAAAAACTCACACTTACTCGAACACACAATTACACCCCAATTCTCAACAAGCCAACAAAGAGTGTTGGGTCACTTCTTAAATGGTATATTACCTGATAGGCTGGTAGTATAGGAAATATGTTTTAGGGAAAGCAAATTTGGTGAAATCTAAATGATTGTTTTATTAACATGTGATGCCTTCGTTGATTTGAGATGTTGTGTTAATTTGCTCCCTTAGGGTAGGATGTAGTAAGAGATTAATGCCCATCGTGTGATGAATTTGTTGATATGTGATGTTTTTGTAGATATATATGATGTTGTTTTTGTATGAAATGTTTATGTTGATATGTGATGCCTTTGTTGATATGTGATGTCTTTGTTGATATATGATGTTGTGTTGGTATGCGATGCTTGTTGTAACGCTCCAAAAATCACAAGAAGTTTAAATTTTTTAAAACCAACCATGAATCGATATTGTTTACAAAAAGAGTCATTGTTTCAAAAGCATTATTTCAAATCAGAGTTTTCCCAAGACCCGAATACATAAAAACTGGAAGTTATGTACCATCACACCTTCGCCTTCCTATGATCCTAGGAAGTACCTGAAACCATAAACGAAAACTGTAAGCCAAAGCTTAGTGAGTTCCCCCAAAGTGCCAACACACCACAACAGACAAGCATACAATATGAACAACCAGCCTGACTCGACCGCCTCACAGGGCCTATAGCCTATCTGGACTACTCTATGAGACTTTGGCATGACTGGACCGCCTAACATGGCCTACAGCCTATCCGGACCGCTCCACGGGATCTGAAAGTTGGACCTTATGTATTAGAACCCTAAAATAGGCGAGATCTGAAAGTTGGAACTTATGGCTGAACAGATTTAACACTTAATGGCTTAAGGTGGGAAGCAATCCAGTATGTTGGGCATACCAAGTGGTACGTTGCGCGTACTGGCGGTCAAGTACGCCAAGCGTACACTGCGTACGCAGAGCGTATGCCTTGCTGTGGGCTTTTGGACTTCTATTGGACTTTGGAACTTTGTGTCTTGGTTAGGTTTGAGCCTTGGAATACTTAAGTATGAGTGGGCATCAAGATTCTGTTAGTGGGCCTTAAGTTGTGTGAGTTGGTCCTTTATGGGCCATTATTGTGTTAGTGGGCCAAGTTTGGTTTGACCCATTATGGGAATGGTAAAATGGCCTTTTATCCTAGGAGTTTGGGTTTGGGATTTTAGACCCACGGTTAAGGTTTATAACCTAATTTCGATTAGGGTGATTTGTTTGTGTTCAGTATGGTATCTTCCGATTCTGTAGCCAAGCAGCTAGTTATTTTATCAGCGGACTGATGTGAGTTTTCTCACTGTATCAATGGGTCGAATGCACCAAGGCCGACCCATTATTTGTGATATATGATACTAGCTATCTTTGCTATATGTGTATGGAAGTCCAGGATTTGGCCTTTGGCAACTATATGAAAGACCAGGATGTGGCTCTGGCATCTGTATGAAAGACCAGGATCTGGCCCCTGGCACTTGAATGGAAGACCGGGATTTGGCCCTCGGCAGGAAATTACTTGTAAGACTATGATTTGGCCCATAACACTAACTTATTTATGTATGCATGTGGTACTTTGGGGATAGTCACTAAGCTTTTGCTTACAGTTTATATTTATGGTTTCGTGTACTTCTAGTACTAAGGGGAAGGGCCCGATGTGATGACACAACATTCTTCCCTTACTATTTTCCGCACTTTTGCTTACAGTTTATATTTGATGGTTTTTGGAACAATTTTATAACTGTAGCTCTTGTTTAAAAATTAACAATTTTATCATGGTTTTTGGGCTGTTACAAAAATGGGCTTTTCTGACCGTAAAAACGGGGATGTCACACTTATCCATTGAAAGGTCAAATGGATTTGCACCTTACGTATCTCGTATATTTCTTGTATTATTCACGTTCTTTATTGAACATAACATGTCGTATTTTACTCGTTACCACCAATGCATCTTACTTTGGTAGGCGTTGCATAACTCTTAAACTACGTGTCACGTAAGGATAATACATTACCTACTTTGATAATAGCAACGTACATCACCATGTTACGTCAAACTACTATTATGCATTGCGTACCACCAATGTTACATATGTCATTCGTGCATAGACTGTCGTCGCACCATACTTTCTCAACGTACCACGTATTACCCAATCCTACACGTCTTTTTCCCATTGTACATTGCCCTATTTGGAAGTGGAAATGTACATCACGTTCTCCATCAAAATTGGCTTAACGCGTTGCATACCTCCATTAGTACGCATCGCATAACCTGCATTTTGGCAGATTCCATTCTTATTTCAAATTCACAGTTTTCCCTACTTCTCACATATCTTTATACTACCACAATTTCATCATATTAGCTCTAAATTCGTTAACTTTATATCCACACAAAGATGGGAAAGAGCTTAACAAATCCATCAAGGTGCTTTTGACTAAACATTTATTAACCTTGATATATCAGGTCATGAACTTGGCATTCAAAATCATAAAATTTTCCATTTTACCCCTTTTAGCCCAAATAAGAAATTTTTATTACTAACCTCACTTAATTCCACATTACCCTTGTTACAAGGACTATTATGTCACAACTAGCATTTTAGCTAGGAAATTCTATTCATGTGTAACCGTTCATCTATTGTAAATCATATACTCTAAGTAAATCTTACTCAATGCTCATTTAGATTCATCAATTATGTTCAACAAAGAGTCTGAAACCCTACGAATCTCGGTTTGAGTCCATATTGGACTAGAATTTCCTTATTGGGCCTAATGGACCAATAAGCACCCAATTCAACTTTATTGGACTTAAAAGCCCTAATTGGATCCTAATTGGACCCAATTCATAAATCTAAAACATTTTGGACAATTTGGGTCTAGAATGATTCATTCTAACCCTAATGGGACTTATTGGGCCATAACTAATCCAATTAACCTTAGTGAGCCATAAGCCCATTCTTTTATTCTATTTGGGTCGTGAATGCTTCCAAGGGCCCAATTGGCCGAAAATTTTTATGTTTAGGATCCAAAGATCTAACTAAAGTTAATGAGCCCAAACCACTCCACCCTTTCTTCTTGGCCCAAAATCTTGGCCCATGTATAACAAAAAAAAAGAGAAGTGAAATGGGGGGGGGTTGACTTTGGAGGTGTCACCTCTATAATACACACCATGTATCAAGGCTTGGTTTCTCATGTTCCCATGCTAGTCACATCACCACTCTCTCTCCCCTCTCTTCTTCTACTCTCGGCCGAGAGCCAAAACACACACACACACACACTTGAAAAATTCTCTCCAAACTTCTCTAAAATCATCCTCTTCCTTCCTCCAAGATCTCAAAAATTTGCTAGGGTTCTAAGGATCTTCATCAAGTCATTCAAATCTTTGTTAAGTTATTGTTAAACACAAGTATCTTCTTTCATCTTAACATGAAAAACTCCTTCTTACATGGTTTTTATTCCATGATCACACCTTAGAAGCTTCATAAACTCGAGATTCACAACAAAGGTG